GCCCCAGAGCCTTTGCACCTACTGTTCTCTCTCTTTCTGTAGGTGTATTTCAGGCATCCATGTGGTTCATCCCATGTCTTATTTATATATCTTATTTACATGCCATCCTAGTGAGACTTCCCTTGATTACCATATTCAAAAATACAGCCCCTTCCCAACTGGAATTCCTCATGGTCTTTCCTTGCTCTACATTCTTTCATCTGTCATGTTATTTTTATCTCATTTATTGTGTCTGACACTGGAATGAAAGCTCCATTAGGTCAGGGATTTTTCTCTGTTCAACTACCTGAAATATGTTGCAGGTCCTTGAACAGAGCCTGGTAGACAGTAAGGTGTTAATGAATATTTAAATAAAGGAGCCAAACACGGAAATGACAATCAGAAAAAGAAAGCCAGAACAACAGAAACAGAAGAGAACAGTAACAGGTGCCCCAAACTAGTGATGCTAATGGATGGTAAGAGTCTAAGGCTTAATTACTAATGACAAATAAGCTGAATGTTCATCTGTGTTTTCCCAGCATCAAGTCATATCTTCTTCATCTTTATATCCCACCTTCTTAGCATATATTAAGCATTAGTGATTGAATGACAAGACTAAATAGAAGAGGGCCTCCCCTGGCGGCACAGTGGTTGAGCGCTGGGTTGTGAGGCTGCCCGCAGCCTCTGCAGCACCGATTCAATCCCTGGCCGCTGGGTGAGGGTCCCACATGGTGCGCAGACCTCTCCTGCCGCCCACTGCTCCCCTCAGCAGTGTATTTCATCAGTCTGACTGTTCTGCTCCCTGCTCTGGCTCTGGTGAATTCTCTCACCCTCCCGTGTCTCTGACTGTACCCAGTGCTTGTAGAAATAAATAAATAAATCTTAAAAAAAAAAAAAACTAAACAGAAGAGGACTTTGGGAGGAGTAGCAATAAATCAAGTTGGAGGCTTGTTGGAGAAGTGGGGTTGACTCTTGCAAAGGAGATGTTTTCTAAAATATGCTTGTTTCAATACAAGGAAAGTAGAACTCATTCTTAGAGACAATTGAATTTCATTAAGTATTGCTCTACAGTTATCTTAGGTGCCATTTTGCAGTTGTGAAGAAGCCCTTAAACCACAAATATCATGACCACAAGTACCAGTTGTCACCAACAAGGTGTTACCAATTGGGCGTGGGGAGTCATGGGTGCTACTTCCTATTGGAGCAAAGTCAATGGAGAATAAAGCATTGGGGCGAGGGCTTAAAAGGAATCATTGGCTCCTCTGTCCCCTCAGATTCTGCCTTTAGCTAACACAACCATAAAATAGAGTAAATAGCATTGTCAGGAAGCCCAGTACCATTGATTAACAGGGACTGCAAGGACTGCCCTGAGTGCTTTAAAGCCGTTCATTCATTGCATGAATGGGAGAAATTTAGCTGTGGTTCTCATCCACTTCCTATCTTTAAGGTCAAAATGGAGACTTTGACCCTTTGTGTTCTTTAATAAGATGTTTTCCCTTTGCCATCGTTACACTGCACAATGAATCGCCACAGGCCATCTGATCCCTGCTGGTATTGACTAAGCAGACTCTATCTATACACTTTATCTGCTACTGGATGTAAGCAGTTATCATCAAATATTTATATAAAAATAACCATTGCATCAAGAACAACATACTGAATCTTCAGAAAAGTGTAGGGAAGACATAGTCTGTCCCCAGAAGTTTGCCATCTAAGGGAAGCCGAGGCACAAGCAAAAAATGAAGCAATACCAGAGAAGTGCAGGTCTTTGTGAAGAAATAGAGTCAACAAAACTGCTTTGACCTGATGAGGATACCATTAGATTGCTGTTCCTGTTGAAATTAGGTGAAGCAGTGTTATATTATCAAGCCAAGAGGTTGCTACTAGTTCTACTATTTAATCCCATGGACAAAGTCATCTAGATTTCTTGAGCCCCACTTTCCTAAGCTTGGGTTGGGTTTTGTTTTGTTTTTTTCCATAGTTTTCACTAATGCCAATCTGAAAACAACCCCATTTCTATCTAAAACATGCCATCATTTAAAGGTTTGACCTGGAAAGGTAGTTTAAAATGATCATTCATTATTCTCCACTTGTCTCTCCTTTCTTTCCCTTTGTCTTTGTCTCTCCCTCTCTTCCCTCCACACACACATGTGCTTGTCTCCTTCTTCAGTATTACAGGATTTATGCAAACCTGGCTGGAATCCGAGCACAACCAGTTCTTGTTTAGACTCATTAATATATTAAAACAAGCCCTATAGTTTCAGTACATTCCAAAATATGGTTTATCTACCCCTCTTGCTTCATTTTCTTTATCAATAGTATTTTGCTCAACTCACCCTTAATTCAAATAATAAGGCAAAGAAAAATGAAAGTAGAGACTCATCTTTTTCCCTCTGTTTTTCTGATATTTATATCATAGACATGTCTTAGAATATAGCAGATTCACAAATAGAACTGATCAAGTAAAAAAATTACAATAAGAAGCTGGTTTCATTGTTAAACTGGGGGTAAAGTTTCAGGAGTTCCCAGTGAGAGGGAGGATCACTTTTCACTCAATGCTCTTTCTTACAATTTGTAGATCTCCCTGTGCTTGAGTAAGTTTCATTATAAGAAAATTTTTTTTAATATTGGGCACCATTCATTATGCATATACATGTGTCAGCCCTTTTATATTCATTATCTCATTTAAATCCTCCCAACAACCCTAATGCATATTTTTTAAATTTCTGAATTTACTAGATGAAGAAACAGAGGGTTCAAAGCAGATTTAAGTATCTACATCCACTGGCCAAACTGATATTTTATGTGAATAAAATTATATACTAGATATAACAATGCTGTGAGAAGTTCAATGATCATATAAAGGTGAGTCAGGAGCACCCTATCGATACGGGAACGCATTTATGCGGTAGATGTTTGCCAGGCCAGCAAGAGTGAGTTATGCTAAAATTTAGGCCCAGCTCCAGTATTGTTATCCCCAGGTTTTCACTTATTCATTCTGTAGCTTCCATTTCTCAACCATCCTGTTAAAGGATGTCACTGGAATTGGAGATTTTTGATGTGGGGGGAATATTGGTAATAGATAGTCAGACCCTTATTCAGCAAAACTGGCCGCCACATCTATTGCTGTCAACCAGAAGAGCAGTGGCATGTTATTCGTGGTCTCCTTCCTTCTCCTGCCTGAGAAAGTAATATGGGCCTGCAAGGAAGACAAAGTATATTGTAGTATAGCCTCAAGTTTCCAGATGTAGCTGTTGACTGGGTCAGTTGAGCCAGCCTTTGGGATGGGAAATCAGAAGTCTGAAGGCTAAGAGTTTGAAAGCAGCACAGTAAGAGCGAGTTCTCTGCAAGAGATCATCTCTTTTCAAATACTCAGCCATGGTAAACAAACTTCAGAAGAACGACAGTAATTATTTCAGCAACAGATACAGCAAATGATTTGTTGTCTGTGCCTTTCAGATTATATTTTCATTTTGTATACTTTTCATATCTGAGAAAAAAGGAAGGTTTGGGAGAGTAGATATGTGTATCTGTCCTATAAATAGCATAGCTGATTTCCAGTGGAAGGTGTAATAACGGACACACTAGCAGAAACACCAGATGTTCATGTGGCGGTGCCCTCCCAATCCTGTCATTAGTTTCAGTTTTAAAATAATCCTCTTTGGGACGCTCCCACATTATGAATAAAATGGTTCTTCTGTATATATATGTTTCCAGTCACTGTTTCTTCCACATTTACTGAGGATTTACTATGTACCAAATAGTCTTCTAAGTGCCAGAGATAGAGCCAAGAACAAACAGAGTAAGCAAATAGTCTGTACTTATAGTTTAATGAGGGGAGAGAAGAAGTAACAAAATAAATAAGTAAATGATATTCTTGTTAGAAGATGATGAATATTGTGAGGAAAGTTTAGCAGGGAGGGTTGGGGGTGGGAGTTGCAAGTTTAACAGAGTTCTTAGGGAAAGCCTCACAGAGAAGGTGACATTAAATCAGACTTGAAGTAGATGAAGGAGAGAACTCTGTGGAGAGAACTGCAGGACAATTGTTCCAAACTCAAGGAACAGTAAGTGCCACAAAGGGCTAAGCATCAGGGGGAAGAGCAAGGAGGCCACATATTTGGAGCAGAGGGAGCAAGGTGGACTATAATAGCTATGACGAGCTCAGAAAAGTAGCAGAGGCCAGAGCCTATAGGTCACATCCTGTTATGACTTTGACTTTACTCTGTGTGAGATGAGGCACCACTCAAAGCTTTTGAACAGAGGAATAATTATGATTTGATTTTGACTTCTTATAGAAATAATATTAATTATAGGACATGTTCCCAGAATAACCCAGCAAAGTATGTTCACCCCACATTACCATTGAACTACAGTGCTAATCTACTCTGGGAAACTGACCTCAGAGTACTAGATTTAGATCCAGGAGACAGAATTTGATTCACAGCTCAGTTGGATGAGTTTGAGCATGTCAGTTAACATCTCTGAGACTTATTTTCCTCATTGGAGAAATAAGGACAAGCAAAAACTGCCTTGTGGCTTTATTTGGGGGATCAAGTTAAAAAGAACAAAGTAGAAGCTCTCTGTAGTTTGTAGAACACTAGATAACCATCAGGAGGGGTGGTGAAAACAGCAGCAGTTGTGGTTATGTCGTTATTTCAGGGAAAATTAAGCCCAAGAACTAAGTCAAGATGCCAAGAGTGCAACCTTCCCTTTCTCAGTATTTCTGATTAAATGGCCATGGAAATTACTCCTCCTTCTTCTCCTGAGAGGTGAAAGGGAAAAGCAAGGACCCAGCTGACCACAAGGGAAGGCCACAGCGGGCACCCGAGTGGGATCTGTGATAACTTACAGGGGATGGAGGATGGGAGCCTCCACCGCTCGGTCTGCTCCCAGGGGATGTCCTGGTGAGGAAGCACGTCTTCCCCTCTGGTAGGCCTCCCCACTTCAGGCCACAGGGTATGGACTGTCCTCAGATGGGCAACTTCTCCAACTAACCACAGCCCTTCTCTTCTCCCCGACAGGCACTCCTCCTACGGAAGGCTTTTGGATGACCACGACTATGGGTCCTGGGGCAACTACAACAATCCTCTGTATGATGACTCCTAACAAAGGAACATGGCCTGAGAGGAGGAATAACTATTCTTTATTTATAAGTGCTTACCCAGTAGAATTAATTACAAGTACCTGATGCCCACTGAGCGACAATCTTAAGCCCTGTTTCGTTGGTATGATTGTTTCGTTTTCCTCCCTCTCCTCTGGCTGCTGTAACTCCCCCTCCCTGGTACAAAAAGAATCATTATTTCAAGGTATGTGAAGACTGATTTGCAGATGAAATGGGCCAACCTTGGGCAGGTCAGGCCAGACCACCATGCTGGAGGCTTCTGTTCCCACCACCTGACCCACTTGGAGAAGGACTGAGGAAGAGGAACTGAGTTGTTTTGTCAGGGGTTACTTTTAAGGGACCTTTTTGTTTGTGGCATTTCTTAAACTTTTATTTAGGAAGTTACTTTAACTGTCAATGAGGTGAAAGGAAATGAGGACAGGGAGGATTCCGCCCTGCATGTGTGGGAGCAGAGGTTTCTCAGATTCCTTTTATCTCTGATTATCTGGCTGTCTGACAGGGCAGCTGCTAGGCTCAACACACTGCATACCAGCTCCTGAGCTGCCTAATTAATGAAAGAGGAAAATAGAAGGTGCCCTGGAGGAGGTCAGCAGGCCAAGGAGCAAAGTCTCCTACCTTTTCCCCCTCTAGATCACTGTTATTTGCTAAAGATGCCCTGGCAGCCACTGCAGCTATGTCCCCAGCCCACAAGCTTTCAGCGGCATTGCCATTCCACAGAAGGCTAAGAGGTGAGCTCAGTAGTAGAGAGAAAGGAAGAGACATGTGGCTTGAGTATCCAGTGCGGGGAGTGCAGGAGGGTGGAAGCAATGAGCAGAGGGGAGCACTGAGCACCTGTTAGGGAATGTGGGAATCAGCCCTCAATAATAGTCAGAGACATCCACGGCTGGCGGAGCCCACAGAATCCTTGCTGTGTACCCATAAATCTGGTTGGCTGCCTTATTGCCTGTTGGGTAATGGCTGTAAACTGTTTTTAAAAGAAAAATGTAAAGGCACTAGTCTGTCTGCAGTTGTTCTGAGAGGCATTTCCACAAGAAAAGACACCACGATTAATCCATTGATTTTTCTTATATGCTTCCCTTATTAATTCTCCCTTTTAGTAAATGGACTCTCCAGGGTAAATGAAGCTCTGTGCTATGAGTTTAGAAAAAGAACTGGTCATCTTCACCGACATCTGTTTATGACAATGGTTTTCAGTCAGCAGGCTATTTTTCCCCCAAAGGATACCATGTAACAGTGGTCACATTGTTACAATTTGGGGGTATCCCAGCTTGGTGGGTAGAGGCTAGTCCACCACCTCATGAATTCTCTGGCCCAAGTCAATAGTGCTGAATTTGAGAAACCCTAATTTATTGCAATGTCCATTGTGACGGAACAAGATATTCACAGACTAATAACATTTTTCATTTTGAATGAAATCAAATTATTTGTTAAACGTTTATTTCAAAATATTGACTGATGGGTTGTTTTGGGCATGATTGCCTTTTTATTTGTATGTATGTTCTACAAAGCTATACTTCTGTCTTATAATACCTGCTATTAGCAACCAGCATTAAATGTGATAATTTCATGTGGCAAAAACATGTGCTGGGTCCTGTTTCAGAATCTATTATGTGGTCCTACAATGTCATAAAGAACCTGAAACTGGATCAGTTTATATTTCTAAACTTGGACCTGCTGCCATGACTCTGTTTAGTTTACAGAAACTTGACTCTCAGCTCATCCCATCCCCTCTGTAGGCCAGCAAAGCACTGACATGGGCACCACCACCCATGCTGTTCTAGCCCTCTGGGTCAGAGGCCCGAGACTCAAGTCACTTCCACAATGTGTCATCCAACACCCTGAAAGAAATCATTCCAAAACTCCTTAGCTCCCAAAGGAGCAATCCCCAAAAATATTTTTCAACAGGAGTTGGTAAAATCAGAATTCTGATAATTAAAAAAAAACAAGAAAGTAGACGTGTCCAGAAAAATGGCCAGGATAACCTCTGGCCATGTATGGCTTGAATAATTTTTCCTCTTTCCTACCATCTTCCTCCCCTTCCTAGGTTTTCAGTTTAGCACAGGACTATACTATTCAATAAAAACAGAACATTCCATATTTTTTTTTCTCCCTCTACCAAAAACATTTCAACAAGCCATCCATGATGCACCTTTGGAGAGGTGCACTTCTGGATGTTGCTTCAGTCATGGGTCAAGGGACTAACCACTTCCCAGGGAACCCTGACTGACTGTAAGCCTCAGACTCAGCAAGCAAGATGGGTTTGTTTGCTAGTAATAATTTCCAAATCCTGTGACAAAGAGAGGCTCTGGACCTAATGTAGATTTAGGCAGCAAGTTGACAGCTTTTATAAAAACTCAAGCACTCTTCGTTATGTTAGTATACATACCTGTAGGCTGAACCTCATTTTACCCAATGCATTTTTTTTTTAATTTTTGAGTTGGCCAAAGGATTTTAGCACCTGAATTCAATCAATAAACACTGCCTAACAAACGCATGCACACACATTTGAAATGTATGCTGGTAATGGACGTCCTTTACCTCAGGGAAGTCTGTTCGGGTCTACCCAAGGAAAGACTCCAGTAGATCTAAACAACACATACCATCCAGGGACAGGACTTGCCATGAAGAGAGAATGTCAGAGCAGGAGGAGGCAAGCAGCTTCTTCCAGAGCATAGATAGCAAATAATGAGCGTGGGGTTCAACTGTTTTTCCCATGGCAGCAATGAAGTCTCCTGCCCTCCCTGGACATCTGTGTCTTTATTTCTTAAATGGGGGTGATGCTTTCATACAGTCCTCACCCCATGCTACCTCACAAGTATGTTGTGAGGATTAATGAAATCATGTCTACAGTGTTTTCAGTTCCTGGAGAAAAATATTTTAAGTATTTTAAGTATTAGTTAGATGTATAAGTGATCTCAGTTTCCTGTTGGTTGTTATACTGGTGTGTAGTTTTTACTTAAATCTATAGAATACCAGTTGTGTCAGAGTCACTCACAGCTGTTACACCCCAGTCTGCCCCCCAGTGCAGCTGACTGACCACAGGGTTAACCATGCCTGGTTTCCACAAAGACAATTTCCATCTCCAAATGAAAGGATGGCCCTGGGCAAAGGTCTCACTGATAATTAAGTAGGAGCCAGGAGTTTAGGGTAACACAGTGTGGATACCCGAGCACTAACAGAAGTAGACCTCTGGCCTTTACCATCCTGAACTATTGGGGACCCTTTGTGGAGTCGATTTGAGTTTGATGTCATCTGTTTGTCCTTCATATTGATTACAAGGGTGCATGGTTCAACCCCTCGCATCTGGGAAATGAATCTTGCAAGTGGGCCAGATGCTAATTTGCACGTTGATTCACCTTCTTTGCCTTTAACCTCTTTTTGGCAAATGAATGTACCATTTCAACTTTGATTTTAAAGTGCTAGTTGATATTGGTGATAGTGCTAACCAAGAGATCAATGCCAGATTGCTTTCTTGGGGTGAGTTAGCCAACATCATTTAAATATGGAAAGATGTGCAACTTCTTTGCAATTTAATGTTGTTGTACCTACATTTGTTGTAAGACATATTGCATACTGATAATTATATCAATTAAAGTTGTTAAAAGCTTGCATCTAACAGTGGTGATTCACATATTTATACATATATATGTTTTTATTTCAGTCAATAGGTTGATACCTCAGTACTGCTCATATTAGTAGCTTGGCTTGTTGTTAAGGAAAATTTATCCCACATCAATAAATAATATTTTCTGCAGAGCAGGGAGGTCTCACTTATACTAAAACAGAATTGGAGGTCCAAAATAAAGAAACTTCCACAAAATGATTTTGATTTTAACTATATGCCATTCCTTGTAAAATAGATGTAAAAATAAATACTTTGACCAATAAATAGGTAGTAATACATAATCAAGTCACAGTAAGATATATTGCAATTAGCACATTTGATACTTGTTTCCTCCTCCTTCACAATATAAAATTCAGCACACCCTCCATTCTCCAAATAGCAGGCAGTTTTAATCATCTAGAATATAATTTCAACCACCAAAAGCTATCCAAAGATTATTCTGATTCTGAATAAAAGAGCACCAACAAAGTCCATGTATTTTGCAACCAGACAGAAATGAAACCACCTGCAAACTAATCTCATTAGGTTAATAATGGATACAGACATAAAGTCAGGTTGAATAGGTTTAGGTACCTGGACTTCAGTGGCACAGCATGGAAGATTGACGAGGCAGTCAAAATGGGGAATGAAACAGGTCCAAGCATGAAACATTGTCCTTTCCTGCTGTGTATTCATTCATTTCTTGAGGACCTAACATGAGAATAAAACAGGTAAAGACTATTATTCCAAGTCAGCCTGAACAGGATTGCTCAGAATGCACTTTAAATATGCATAAAAAGAAAAGACCTTGTCCTTAATGTGTAATGTTTACATATTATGAATTCTTGGGTCTTGGGTTCTAACTGGTATTTTCTCCTGTGTTATAGTTTTTCCAAGTCAGATCATAATCTATTTAACTACTAGTAAACTATCTGCAATCTTCTATTCTCATAAATTTCAACAATACTCACCAAAAGCTAGCTCCATTTTGATTTTTATCAGAGAGCATTGAGTCATAAATGACACTTGCAAAGCACTGATCAAATTGGGAAAACCCCTGTAGGATGTATGATCTCTTCTCTTAAAGGATCTAATTGTTGGCAAATGTAGAGTGAGCGAAATTATTGCACTAAAACAGCATTAATTATTTTGCATCAACAAATTTGTTTCTAAGCAAAATATTGAATATTCACTGTAAAAAAGAAGGTTTCTAATATTAGGGACTTTAGGTGCCTGTGGCATTAATGCAATCCTTGTATCAGCTCGTATGATAATTACACTCTCCCCATCTTATAGATGGGGAAAATGAGGATCCAGGATATTAAATTCATTCATGCATGTACTGGATCCTTCTGAAGAATGAATGTTGACTCCTGCTCTCCAAGTCTTTACAGTTTAGTAAGTAGTGTAGGTGGGATTCAAGCCAGGTCTATTTGTCACCAGAACACTTGGTCCTTTTCCACCCAAAGGACTGGTATCTGACATAAACATCTCCCAGCTTTTAAGACTCCCACACCCCCTACTAATATGGGACCCTCAGCTATTTTGGGCCATCTTGAGGGTGTGTGGCATGCAGCCCAGAGCAGAGCGCAGTCAGCACCCAAGCACATGTCCCCTTCCAGACACTGTTACCTTTCTGCTGGCTCTTGCTGCCCTGCTGGGCTGTGTCCCCTGCCAGGGGAGGCTGCCTCTCCCACCCCCAGCTCTGTCAGAGGACTGACAGAACTACCTCCCAGAGTTTTAGTGAAAACCTCCCTCTTTGTTTCCACCGACAGTGTCCCTGCTCTCCACAAGGAGTCACAAGAGAGTCCGCAGCAGCCTGGGATAGGATGTTGCCCTTGGAATAACATCCCCAACTTATCAAAGCACCATCATGGCACTCGCGTTTTCTTGGTGATGTAAAAATAATGACAGCTTCTCACATGACACTATGAGCCAGATACTGTTCTAAGCACTTTACATGGATTAACATATCTATGAGGTAGATACTATTCATTTCCCCATTGTACAGCTGAGGAAACTAAGGGTCAATTGGGGCAAAACTTCCCAAATCATATAGCTGATAAGTGGTGGGGAAGAATTCAAATGGTGACAGTTGGCCTTAGAGTTCATGCTCTGACTACCTCACGGAGGCCTCATTCCACACCGGATGCTCCTGGCACCTACACTCAGTCAACATGTCTGAACCTCGTCTGGAACGACTTAAAGCCCAAACTAGATGCCCATCACAGAAACAAGGTCCTCCTTAAAGGAAGATTCCTGAGACCTCACAGGCGCCTGATTCTGTAGCGTCTCCAGCTAAAGGCCGGTACTTGAGCCAAGGTTACCCACTCAGCAATCACCACCTCAGCAGCGGAGCCAACTCAACAACAGGGGCCTCCAGGCTGCCCCTCCCGGTCACCAGATCCACACAGCTGCTGCGCTGAGAAGTTCAGAGCACAGTCGTCCTCACTAGCCTCACCCCTTGCACTTGGACAGAAGTCACGTCACAAGCACTGCTGGGGGGAGTGTTGAAAAGTTTAAGTCATACAGAAGCTGGGTTTTGTCAGGGAGTGCAAGAGACAAATGCCCCCTCCAGCCCCATGCCAGCACATTTGACCTGTAACAGGGATTATCAGGGGAAATCAACACTTGCTGTGCCATCCTGGGATCTATATTAAAACCTTAAGAGTTATATTTATTAAAATATTAAGGAATAGGATTCTGTGTAGATATTAGAATTTAACACAAACTGAAAGCACAGGAAGAGAAAGAGGCAGAAGCCAGGAGCAGGTGACTGCTGAAGTGCTTGGGGCTCCGGGAAGTTGCTCTGTCTCAGGTGGCAGTGGGGGGGCAGGGGTTTCTCAGCAACAGTCCCTGGAGAAGAGCTTTGCCCTTTGCCCATCTTCCGTCTCTCACCTGAGACCCTCTCATGGACATGCTCTCTCTGGGACAGTGTGGCCAAAGGGGTCATAACAAATGTAGTTCCAGCTCCACCCTGAATTGCGGAGGGGGTCTTAGGGAAGGATGGTCACGGTGCTGCATTGAAAATAGACTGCACAGTCCGCCCCTCTAACTCCAGATTAGAACTTCCCAGAAAGGACAACATCGTGTCATCCCTAACATGTGATACAACGATAACCACCCCTGACTCAACTGAAGGTGCTCTCACCTGCCCCCTAAAAGAAAAACAAGGCTCTATAGATCACTTTATCTCTGAAATAGTCACTCCTCTCCTCTGAAATAGTCACTCCTCTCCTCAGATGCAGCCTGACTTAAATAGCAAATGATAGGATTAGCCACATTATGTTAGATAGAGGGTTGGTGAGGAGAAAGAATTGATTCTACACACACAGCTTTGATCTATACATATGATATGCATATTTCCAAGCAAGGAAGATATTAGGCATAGTTACAGACTTCCTTTCTGCAACTAGTCCCATGACCATGTTGGTATTTATAACCTCTTTCCACATGCCATCTCATGCTCCTTTTGTCCTCAGCCAACATCTCACTAGGCATCGGCCTTTATATAGCAGGTGACTCAAAGCTCACATCAAAATGTGATGCCAAGAGCTGCTGAAGTGGATACTGTCTCTACCATTAAAAAAAATTTTAAGAACACAGAGAGAGAATGGCACACACTATATATAATATGCCTAATACTGTCCCCTGCCTAGCTGTTCTTTCTCTCCTCTCTCATCCCTCTAGTTCTCTAGCCAATCTCTTTCACCTCCATCAAATAGAAAAATAAGTGGGGGGCTGGGGGCAATAGAGAAGGGGTTCAAAACCATTCTCAGCACTTAGCTTGCAGCATGCAGGGCCCTGGGTCGTTCCAAATACCCATCCACCCACCAACCCCTCTCAGCTGCCTGATTTCCACTTGGAGGCTTCTGGGAAGAAGAGTGCATTCTCCAGAAAGCTGGAACTTGAAAAAGACCAGCTAGGAAGAACTCAGGGAAATAAAAGTGGGGTTTCCTTTATTTACTTTCAACATGAAGTTCCATGGACCATTCCTCCTTTAACACCCACCAGTCCCATCCTTCCTCTCCTAAAAGGATGCTCCAAGCTGCAGATGGTTTTGGTAAGCCATGAAGATAAGCTGTGAAGTTGATATGCAATGAAATGAAATATATTTAACTGTCACAGGAGGAGAAATCCTCAGTGGCAATGAATCTCAGGTCCTGAACCCAGGGGCTGTTTGAGGCATTGTGTAGTCTCCTCCTGAACATCCATTTCCATAAAGCAGGGAAACAAACCAAGCAGTCCTATTAAACAGACATGGCCCCAAGGCTATTGTCTGTCCTGCAACGCTATTGTCTCTCCAGCCACTGCTGTTGTCAGGCAGCTGCAGCTCCCCAGCAAGCCTCAGGGTTCCCAGCATAACAACCTTAGCCTCTTCTCCTGCATAATGGAGAGACTGGATTTTATGTGGCTCCCCTGTGCCACATTCAATGTTCCTGTCTGGGTTCGGGTAAATCCCTGGGCTGACTTCTTGGATACAGAAGCCAAATGGCTCATCAGTAAAGAAAAGTACAATCATTCATTCCTAGCCTCACTTATCTCCTGGAATCTGAGGCAGCTGGTTTCCTGAAAAGTAACAGGCTCTCAATCCAACCATAGTCAAAACTACGAGCCAAGGAGAATGGTTAGCTAGAGACTTTGCCAACTTTCTATCCTTCCCCTCGGTTCTTCTTAGCTTCGGACGCCTATGTAAGAGAGAAAGTCAGGCAGTAGCTGAGAGAGGCATGTGGGAATGACCACAGGGATCATTTGCTCATGGAGGGCCTCACTTTAAGCATTCCAGAGATTCCTCGAAGTTATGTCCTATGATGGAATTGTAGCCTAGGAAGAAAAATTTCACTCATTTGTTCATTGCTCTTTCAACAAACAGTATTCATTTAGACATTCTAGATGTATAAAATAGTAAAACAAGACATAATAAGGATAATATTTATCCATAAAAATGACTTTCAATCTAATAAATCAGTAAAATCTCTGTATAGAGTGATGGGCACTTTGATAGGGTGGTGTGTAGGGTACGCTGG